AACAATTTGATGCTCTTATCCGCCCGTAAAACAAGTGAAAGTGAGAGAGAAAGAGAGCGAAAGGGAGGGCGAGAGAGAGAGAGAGAGAGAAATAAGCGCAGAGCACTAAACCCTTACCTCTCATTTATTTATCACTTGCTTTCAAATCGGATGCAAAACTTTTAAATTTAAACATAATATTTTGGACACGATTTACAAATCACAAGACAATAGGAATGTAAACATATGTTTATTAAAGTCAGAGACGAATAAATGCATAGATTTCGTGAAAACGTGAGCCGCAAATACTTTTTATTGCAAACAACAACATCTCGCTTAAAAACTTTACACGTATTTAATTTTTATCATTCAATGTTTATTAAAATTTTAATTTTGCTTATAATTTAGTCACAAGAATTAAAATTTTTAAAATAAAAACTATTTGCCATTCATAGCAATCATAGTTCAGTTTTAGGAAATACAAATCCAGTTTAATATACAGTATATGTGTTTTGCTATATTCACATTTTAGACACAATTAACTTATTAAACAAATTTAAATTTTATACAAAACACATAATTGTTTTATAAAAAAATCACTAGTAATTTAATTACAAATTAATAACTTGTATTGTATTTCACATTAATTGCTAACAAAAAAATATAATTAAAATTCAAATGAGTAACTCTTGAGATAAAAATAAAATAAATTAACCCTCTATTCAAAACTCACGTTTATTTTTAGTGTTTTGCAAAAATAAAGCAAAGGTTTATCAGATAATGACTATAATTTTATTAGTTTCCCAAAATTTGAACAAAAAATTGTATTATTAAACCATTAATAGCATTAATTTAATACCAATGATATACTTTATAAAGTCATTTATTTATTTAATCATTAATCAGTGAAATATATCACACTTTGATGAATAAAATTAGGGACCGATTCAGTCATTTATTATATAATATTCATTTTGTTGATTCACTTTTAGCGGTGATATGTCTGCGATATCTCAAGGATAGGAATGGTATAAGAGATTCAAGGATAATAACGATAGTTGTGTGGATACAACTGTGCACTTAGTGAGCGCCTTCAGGTGTGATCTTCTTCTTTGCTAAAATTGAAACTTTATTTTTTTAAAGAACTTATAGTTAGAGACGTGTTATTAAATCATGACTTCAAATAATATACACTTATGTCTTCAGATATAATAATAAAGTCCGTCTTCAATGGCATTGAATTCGTCGCTTCTCTCTCTCTCTCTCTCTCTCTCTCTCTCTCTCTCGCCCTCCCTTTCGCTCTCTTTCTCTCTCACTTTCACTTGTTTTACGGGCGGATAAGAGCATCAAATTGTTGTAAAGTGAAGTCTGACTACAAATTGAGGACTAGTTTTGCATTGAATTTGAAAAGAAAAAGAGGACTTTCTTTCTCCACTCCTCTCACACACAGAGCAACTGGTATTTGAAGTTGAGATCAAAGAATACACTATTTGTCTCAATTGTATAGATATAACGGTTTGGCGATAAGACATGAATGCGTTAAGAATTGTAGGTCCAGTTCCAGCGCTAAGATAAACATTTAAAAAACTTTTATTACAAAATGTGAAAAAGTAATAAATGTTTTATTGTTTTAGATTATATTGCTTTCGGTAATCGGTTTGGCGTTAAGTGTTGTAACGCGAGTCAAAGTTGGATCCAAACGATGGGCTTTTCATTTGGAGGTGAATGAGGGGAAGAATGTACGCAAAGAATGGACGGACGAGAGTGGCGTCACTCACGGAACCTTTACTTTTGTCGGACACGATAACTCTTCCCGACAAGTATTTTCACAAATTCATTGATTTCTAAATTATTTTTGATATGAATTTGAGTGCTATATCTTTTCCTTCGCTCTTCAGCTCGAATACAAGTTTGATTTGACAGCCGAAGAGCCGGACATATCATTTTCGGTGGTCAACCAGGAAAGCGCTCAAAGTCTAGAAAGTAATGAGACGACAACCACTGCCCCGACTAATCCGTCCGATAACTCGTCTTCAATACAATCCACTTCTGAGGTAAATATCATTTTAATTTTTTCTTTTATTCATTGAAAACTCTATTATTGCTTTCATTTATTGCTATAATCATTCAATACTATAAATGCCCTAAACTTTTAGCCAAATTACGAGTCCATCGATGGCGAGGAAGAGTTTACTGGACACGTATCGATAAAAGTTGGTAAAAATGTTTATTTTATAAACTTCTTGAGCGGCGATAAGTCGGCCGCTCGTGAGGAAGCATTTGATGAAAATGGACTCATTTACGGCAAATATACATTTTTCAACGAGGCCAAACTATCCAAGATTGTGGTAAGTTTAAATGGTTTTTAAATTCCAAGCAATCAAAATATTTTTACTATTAATGTCTGCCAATTAATACATCACATAAAGCGTAACAATAAGTTATCAAAACCATAAGTTTGAAACTTTTCCAATCAGTCCTACCATTCATTTCCTATTGACATATGGAGTACTAAATCATATACAGTATTGACATATAGTGTGTTCCATATATTGTATTTTCATTTGTTTAATACATTTCATACCACTTTTGAAATGTAATCCCATTTAAAGAGCAAAAAAAAGTATTGCAAACATCAACTCTCTTATGATATTTTTCTTTACCATTTTATGAATTGATTTGAAGACAAATTAATTATTTAAAATTTTTTCCCATTCAAATACACGACAAGTAGTCTTGAATTATCATAAAAACTCATTGAATGCTTGAATTTAGATTTAAAAAGTCGTTTTAGAAAAGTTTTCAATGCACTGTCAGTGAATCACTTGACATATAAAATAGTTGACCACAAAATTTATGGTTCATAACTGCAGATATTTGTAAATATCATTCATTGAATTGGTCTCAAAAGTATTTAAACAATTCCTTAATTGATTGAAAAGATAATTAATAGACAACTATATGTAAATGTATTCACAATTTCAAGAGTGAAATTAAATGTAATTAAAATGTTTGTTGAAATCTATTGAAATGTTTTTGTTTCACACAATTGAAGGTTAATTACAAATTCAATTCTTCTGGAAGTGATCCTACATTTGAATTCTCGTTGTATAAGAAGAACGAACCGAATCGTCTCAATCCACTCGAAAATGAATCCAATGTAAGATTTTATTTATTTTAATTTTTAAATATTTTTAATCAATTTGTAATAATGATTGAGATTTTATTAGAATATAACGATATAAATGTCATTTTGAAAAATTCATTACAATTTTCTATTAAATAATAAATAAAATTGTTTTTGAAGATTTAAATCGTCTTAAAAGTAGTTATTATGAAAACAAATTAATTTATTAATAAACATTTGGAAAATTTCCCGATATATTACATAAAAAGCATTTATTTCAATAACTTTTGCGTTTAGATAACGATTGTATCGAAAAAAGATTATAAATTTTTACTTTGAATATCATATAAGAAAAGGAAATTTTCAAATTGAAGGCTAAGTTCTTCTAAAAGCTATTATTTGAGGAATGAATGGACAGATGTTTAGTATATTTATGATTATAGGATGGGTTGGGAAAGAAGAGAATTGCAATTTATTGGTATAAATAAAGTAATAAATTATTAAAATTGACTATAAATGCAAACAACAATAAAACCTTCAATATTATAACTTCTTCTGTTTAGACAAACACTTATTACGATCCGAATCGCGTCAACCGTAGAGTACTATTGCCGTCGGCCGCCGGCCCTCACCATCCGTACGCCCGACAGAATCGGCCGCACATGCCTTCGGTCACTCTCCAGAGCACAAACCCGCCGCACAATATCATTACACCGATGCAGGGAAACTGGTATTACAGAGTCCAGTGATTTCCCGGCAATCAATACCAAAGCGTAACTCAACCCATATATGCGTTCATTTCTATTCTCTTCGATGTCCTTAAGATGTTTGACTTTTATAGACATTTGATTTAAAAGTTTTTTTTGTTTATTTATGAAAACTTTTTTCGTCATTTATTTTTTATTCTTTATAAATGATAAGCTTTTGCTTTTGCATGAAAATAACAGACCGTTTGTTGTCTTCAAGCGCTGATTCATCTGTTGTTGTATTGTTTTTATTATCAAAACATCAAAATTGGGAACAAAAAAGTTTTATTTTCTCATTCAATGAAAATTTTCAATAGTATTCCTTTCAATGAATGAGTTGTTTAGTAATGAAAATGTTAATAAAGTCTAATAAAGTTAAACATATTGTGTATGCGTTTAATGTTGTCTTAATTGAAAACGTGTTAAAACGAGTTAATCGTATCCAAGAAAATGATTGATTAGATGGTCATCTGATCAGGAGTTAGGGCTAATTCTTACCATCACTTTGTATTGAATGCTAAAAATAGATGTAGAATGGGGTCTGACAGTGACCCTGGGCTTTGTCAGCATATTTTCAATTATAACTAATCAATACTTGTATTGATTGATTGAATTAAAATTTGATAAGAGGGGGAGGGGTTGATGGCTAAGTGACAGCTAAATCACTGATCAGTAATCACTAAATTCTCAACTTTTAAAACGTTTAAAAGTTTTAATTGTAATTAAAATCCAATGTATTGTCTCTAAGAGGCGATTGTCGACAAAATATAGTGATTTTATATTAAATATATAATTAATAGTAAAAATTGTATTTAAATTAAAACTAAAGGGAAATTTGTAAAGGAAATAATCTAGATAGTGATAATAACCATAATAATTATAACAACCATGATCATTTGAAGCAAACTTTTCCTCATTGCAATTTGCAATACAACTGTCAAATGCTGTCATTTCGTCACTTAATTCATACAATCAATAATGTCTTTGCATTCAATGCACAGCAATACACATATAGAGCGCTCAAAGCGTTCGTAATGTTACAGCTCTATCGCTCACTATAGATAACCCTTTGTAATAATTGAATCACTTCACTGCATAGCACTGCATAGCAGAGCATCCAACTATATTTTACGTATAAATGCTTTGCAGTGAAAGTAACCGCATATACGGTGGGAATAGACACTGTTATAGACGTGCGTTAGAGTGAGAGTCGGTGTGAATGTGAGTCAATGTGTGTTTGCTTTGAGAGAAAACACAACAATAAATAGAAAACATTTGTATTGAAAGACACGTCACGTAAACATTGGTCTGAGTTTTGTATTGATTTGATCGCAAACACTGACCACAAGAGTGACCACAAGAGTGACCACAAGAAGCGATCGCAGCAATGGTTTTGATGACAATGATTGCCAGAGTGTCGGACGGACTTCCGTTGGCCGCTTCGGTTCAGGACGACCAACAGGTGAGACCACTTCCCACTCAACCACACAGTGTTACCACTCTTTTGTGTTTTGTGTCACACTTTATGATCACCGGTTGGGAACCGATGGGTCGAACAGATGGGTCGCTCTGTACTCGAGTACCAAAACCAGGCGAAGATGTTGTTCCGCAAACTGAACGCTCAGTCGCCGCCGCAGATGACTATAGAGAGCGGACAATACCTCTTCCAGTCGGTGGCCAATACTTTTACATATTCTTCTGATCAGTGATTGATTGGTGTCTAATATGTTGTCTTTCTTGTTCTGGTGGCAGTTATCTCATCGACAGTCAAGTCTGTTATCTAATACTCTGCGAGAAGTCGTTTTCCAAGCGTTTGGCGTTTAGTTTCCTCGAAGACCTCCAAAACGAGTTCAAAACTCAATACGGATCACGTGTTCAGACAGTCTCCCGGCCCTACAGTTTCATCGAATTCGGTATTCAATGACCCGTTGTTTATGTGACCAATGATTGGGTCTATCATACGGTTTGTGTCATAGGTTTTTGTTTTGACAGATAATTACATACAGAAGACAAAGAAGACAATAATGGACGCGAGGGCGCGAAGAAATCTCAACCAATTAAATACTGAATTACAAGACGTTCAGAAGATTATGGTTCAAAACATCGACGATGTCTTACAGCGCGGTCTCGCCATCTCTGGTATGCATTTCTGTTCGCCAATTGTTTGTCTCGTTTCTCACATCAATTGTTTTGTTTCTTATTATTAAATGAATACCAGAATTGGATAACAAAGCGAGTAATCTGTCTCTACTCTCCCAGAAGTACAAAAAGGACGCCCGATATCTGAATATAAGAGCCACGTATGCGAAGGCCGCGGCCGGCGCTGTCATCCTTTTTGTATTTGTCCTCTATTTTTGGATCCTTTAAGCCATCAGTAGTTTATAATATCTTATAAATATATTTTCTTAATTTTTAATTGTAATGTAATTACAATTTATTATAAGTTTTTATTTTATAAATTAAATATTAATTATTGATTTGATTTTTTTGTTTAGCTTTTTTTGTACAGTAGTTTTTCAATTAAAAGTGACAATTGTTTTATATTACAAATACAATAAGCCGTTCAGTTGTGGTGCAAACGATGGTTTGCGGGCAAAGTAAACACTGATCGCATTAAATCAGTTCCGTTCAAAGCGAGCATTGGATTAAAGTTAAAATAGTGACCGTTGTATGGATTGGGCGATAGTGTGGCCGCCGATGGGGTCGGACATAATGGGGACCCGAATATGAGCGGAGTATCGCCAACAGTGACCGCCGACTCTGTGTTGCCATCAATCACTTTAGACCGGAGTTCATCCAAACGCATGTTGTTTTGTCGCTTCCATTTGGTTCTGTCATATAATATACATTGAATGGTATGAATACTTTTGTTTGGTTTCATTTTGATGGACTCATCACTGGTTTCACACCTCCTGTTCTGATACCATGTCTTGATCTGTGTTTCGGTCAGATTGAGAGTGAGAGCCACTTGTCCTCTGTCTGAAACACTCAAATATTTCTGTAAACGAAACTTTCGCTCCAAATAATTGAGTTGAACCTAAAAAGTAGACATTATTGCCATTAATTGAACACATTTTTAATAGTCTACAAAAAACTTATAATTTGGTCACAAATGTATGATTAAAAACCTGAGTGAATGCGGTTCTCCTTCGGCGCGGTTTCTTTTGACGGCTTGTTTTACTCGATTCACGGCTTCCTTGCGTTCCTTTCAGTCAATTAAAACTTATAAATTGTCAGAAATGTGTGATTAAAAACCTGAGTGAATGCGGTTCTCCTTCGGCGCGGTTTCTTTTGACGGCTTGTTTTACTCGATTCACGGCTTCCTTGCGTTCCTTTCAGTCAATTGTGTTTTGTATTCAAAATATTAATATTTTTCATAATTGGGTTTATTTTTACAAAAAACACATTTATTAAGTAATGCATTCAATGAATCGGATTCCTCAGCGAATCCATTGCTTTTATTTAAGCCTTTGATACCGAGTCTCGCATATTATATATTCTGTAATTGGTTTGTATTACTATTTATATTTTAATGTTGAATAAAGTTTTTGTGAATGTGTTTGCATTTTATTCAATCATTTATATAATAACAACATTTCAATTGAATAGTTTTGTTTCCAAAGCATTCAATTACGGTAATAGTTTATTTTGCAAAAACATCGAGTCTTTACAGTAAAGCTCTTTGCACTGTAAGGAAAACGATATTTCCATTCATACGATATAATAAGTCCGCTATTGTGTTAATTTAACAGTTAAGTCAATATTTATCTGATTTAGTGTCCAATCATTGGTCTAAAGCATTGGTTTTAATGTGTGACAAAATATTTTTATATCATGTAAAG